AAAAAATACCGTTCTGAACGGAAAGTACGAAAATCAGAAGAAAGTATATCTTCATCGTAAAATATTCAACAAACGGTACCTTTGTGATTGTGAAAACATATAAGGTAATGAAGTTGAAAGTAAAGATGGAAATATGAGGAAAACTTGAGAGAATTTCTCTTTACTCACCAGCGTGAAAAATGCTTTGATCAAACAACACGAAACACCAGAACAGCACACGATCGCGATAATGTAATCACTGAATTGAATGAGGAACCAAAAACACAATACTTGCACTTATTTTCAAATGAAAACTTTGTTTGGAACGATAAATAATTCCTCTCGCGTATTTTTCAATTGCGAACACAAAATTCGACTGTACGTGATGACATCTAATATAAGACTGTCTTGCTTCACCACCTGGTCTCGAATGAATGACTATTAGCTTGAATCATGCTGCTAACCGATCAATCTCCGAACAAATGAGTTATCTATGACTAATGACGATAATGAAATTATACAGGGGGAACAGGTATATAGTATACAAGATATAAGATGAAGAATTGAACACGAATATACTGGCACTATTATTTTCGAAAGTCTATCGATTTGAAAAAATTAAACATGTGATGAAGGAATTTTACAGTCAGAAGTAGTGAAAAACTCTAGCAAATTTCTCGAAAAGTAAAATGCACAAGAGGCATACAGGGTGTTTCGGATTTAAATGTACATTATGGCCTGACTGCCAGGCTTCTCTACGAAGTTATTAGAAATAAGGTTGTGCTGAGTTACTACGAATACTACGTCTAACAGAGAATTTTGCGAAGAATTCAGTGGCGTACTCTTTTTCTTTAGGGGTTATGATTTCGGAGATACGACATGTATTTTATTATTACATAGTTGAATCCGAGGTTGAATCCGTTATTTGTTTCCATTCAAAATGACGCATAAAACTTTATACATAGGATTTCCAGAAATCCTAAAAAACACTAAAACATCAGACTCTGATGGATTTTTGCTAGTGGGCCATGGAGTTTTCAAGTTTTACTTTAACGATTATTATGTCTGATACAGGGTATGTCCATAGAAATCATATTATATATACGGTATTTCACGACGAGCTTACACTATCTGTATATCGAGAATCATTCGTGAGAAATTCATGAAAATATGTATGCCGATATTTTAGAATACGCTCTCTTCATTTGAAATATTTTCAGCAATGCATTGTTGCCGCTTCTATCAAAAAGTAGCAACAACTTTGTTATTCCAAAGAGAATACCCTGTATTTTTATTTTCCCTGAAGAGCTGATTTCATCGATGCATCACACTTGGGGTCTATCGGAAATGATTACAGAGATATAGGGTGTTCAAAATCGAGATTTTTCAACTTTAAGTTTTGTTTGTGTCGAAACTATTTACTATTTACTGGAACAGATACAGAATGATCAGAATTCTGAATCTTGAACTGTATCTGTTCCGATTGAATATCAGGAAAATGTGAATCAAAAGTTGAGATAGGGACATGTGAGCCGTTTTGTAGTTTCGACACAAAAAAATCCTAAAGTTGAAAAATCCCGAATTTCAACACCCCATATCTCTGTAATCATTTTTGATAGACCCCAAGTGTGATATATTGATAAAATCAGCTCTTTAGGCAGAATCTAAAAATGCGATGAAATACAGGGTATTCCATTTGAAATATCAATGTTGCTACTACTTTCTAGTAGAAGCGGCAACAGTGCATTGTCGAAAATGATTTATATGAAGGTAGCGTATTCTGAAATATCAGCATGCACATTTTCATGGATTTCTCCCGATTGATTCTCGATATAAAGATAGTGTAAGCTCGTCGTGACATACCCTGTATATTATACAGGATGGGCCACCAGTAACGCCTCGGTCTCTAGAAGGCTAACCACTTATCTTCTTGGAATTCTTCCTCTCTAGGAAGTTGCATGTCAACATAGGCTACTATTTAAAATTATTTCGAAACATACAGGGTGTCCCCAAAAACCATAAAACACTGAAGTTAAACTTTTTTCTATCGAACACCCTATATAATATTTCATTTTGAGATTCTCCCTGATGAGCTGATTTCAACAATCCATCATACTTGGGGTCTAGCAGTTATAATTACTGAAATATAGGGTGTGAAAAATCGAGATTTTCCAAGTTCAAGAATTTTTTGTGTCGAAACTATTCATAATTGGTCAAAACGGCTTACATGTCCCTATCTCAACTTTTGATTAACTATCTACTGATATTTAATTGGGACATATACCGGGTGATCAAGATTCTGAATTCTGCACCACCCTGTATTTGTTTCAATTAAATGTCAGTAGATAGTTGATCAAAAGTTGAGATAAGGACATGTGAGCCGTTTTGACCAATTATGAATGGTTTAGACACAAAAAATTCTTGAACTTGGAAAATCTCGATTTCTCACACCCTATATCTCGGTAATTATAACTGCTAGACCCCAAGTATGATGGATTGTTGAAATCAGCTCACCAGGAAGAATCTCAAAATGCAATAATATATAGGGTGTGCGATTGAAAAAAGTTCAACTTCAGTGTTTTGTGATTTTTGAGGACATCCTGTATGTTTCAAAATAATTTCAAATGGTAGCCTATGTTGACATGCAACTTCCTAGAGAGGAAGAATTCCAAGAAGATAAGTGGTTAGCCTTCTAGAGACCGAGGCGTTACTGGTGGCCTACCTTGTATATTGATTATAAAAGATCGAGTAAAAGAAGGAAGACACATTTCATAGTGATTGGAACCACCAAAGTTCCTCTATCTACAGGTTTAGTATGTACATTCAACTCTGAAACACCCTGTATAGGAAAAAGGTATTTATCCATGAAAAAATTTCGAATCGTCTTATTTTCTTCTGGTTTGCTCGTTTCGAATTATTATTTTGAAAGTATTCAACGAACAGACGTTTCTTATTTTGAAAACATATAAGGTAATTAAGTTGAATATAAACAGGGAAATATGAGGAAAAACAGAATCTCTATTCACTCACCAACGTGAAAAATGCGAAGCTTTGATGAAACAACACGAAACACCAAAACACACACACGATCGCGATAATGTAATTATGTGATCACTGAATTGAATGAGGGATACAAAAACACTACACTTGCACTCATTTTCAAGTGAACACTACGTTTGGAACGATAAATAATTCCTTTCGCGTATTTTTCAATTGCGAACACAAAATTCGACTGTACGTGATGACATCTAATATAAGACTGTCTTGCTTCACCACCTGGTCTCGAATGAATGACTAATAGGTTGAATCATATGCTGCTAACCGATTAATCTCCGAACAAATGAGTTATCTATGACTAAATGACGATAATGAAATTATACAGGGGGAACAGATATATAGTATACAAGATATAAGATGAAGAATTGAACACGGATATACTGGCACTATTATTTTCGAAAGTCTAACGATTTGAAAAAATTAAACACAGGCTATAAACATAATTTTCACGAAAATCTCTAGTGAACGAATTTTACAGTCAGAAGTAGTGAAAAACTCTAGCAAATTTCTCGAAGAGTGTAAAATGCACAAGGAGACATACAGGGTGTTTCAGATTCAAATATGTACATTTTGAATCATGCTGAAAATTCCACCATTGATCTACCAGTATACTTTCCCCTCAGTGCTCTTGTATACTGTTTTTCCCTGAATTATTTCACAAGATACCTTCAAAAAAATTGAAAATTATGAATGAATTTGAAAACCAGGACTTTCATTCACCTACAAACAAATTAACAATAAAGAAAAGTAGGTTTATCTACCTGCTAGGTAAAAGGTAGGTCATACTTGTACCTATTTTAAAATGTATCAATGAAGATTATAAAGTGAAACTTCAAAATTGCATCAATAAAGAATGAGGTGTTGATTGAGGTAGTTGTGGAATTGAAATATGAATTTTGAAAACCTACAAGAAAATCATTACAAAAACACAAAAAAAACTAAACTGTTGTTGTTTTCATTATTGGACCAATGAAGTGAAGAAAGGTAGTAAGTTTTTGTTGGAGCTGCCAGCATCCAGTTTTCAAATTCATATTTGATTCTCAACGTTTATCCATTTCTTCCATTCAACAGAACTGATTTTTCATCATCAGAAAATACTTATTAAGTGCAGGAAATTCATTTTAAAAGACATTATAGGTCCTACATTTTTCCATTGGAACCTTGTACTATTTTTTGTGAGAGATATAATTCCCATATCACTGATAGACTTGGAACTTCTGTGAGTTGTAATGTTTATTTCTTCATATTGGCTTAAAAGGGCTTCTCTGGGGCTGCAACTATAAGCATGTTGTGGTCATATGAAATATTGCCTGGTCTTGGTATGGAATGTATGAAGGATCTGAAGCACAAGCTGAGTCCAGAGCTGAGTGAAGTGTAAACATGCGCCAGTAGACAGATTAGCACAGCGCTTTTGGTCAGTTTTTGTGCTGAGATTGTCCATTGCCATTGCAAATATATCAGCTTCTTTCTAATTCACCGATAGTTGAAATGTTTGGGTCATTTTGATATCCTACAGAATGTCACAGGTTTGATGTAATACTGTCCGTAAGACAGTATTATATCAATCACACACACGATGTAATGATGATTCAACAATGATTTTTTATATTTTCTGTGTTAACTTCGAGAATTAACACAATTAACACGATTAAATAGCAGGAATAAAATGTATGCAAAACACACAAAATATGTAAACAAAGTGCCCTGATAACGCTGCCATCTTGTTTTTGATACAGCGCCCTCAACGGTCGATCACCTTGCCAATTATGGATTGTGTGCAAGATCAGTCAGATGACCGATCCTGGAAATGAAACATTGAAACACAACCTCACTTTTCTTATTTGTTTACAAAGGATTAAAATAGTTTTTCACAATTAGTTTGGCATGTGAATCGTGTTTATGTATCTTACATAATTTCTCTTATCCTCTCAACCAATAACTGACTTGACTGTTTTGAAATGCAGGCCTTTGGTACTGCTCAAGAAATCATAAATCAGTTCTTGACCAGAGGCGTGATCAATTGGGGTCCTCCTGTGACAGGCATCATGGAAGACGGGATGTTATTCATTCAACAGGCTCGTGCTACAGATACATCAGGTAATCTAAAGCGGATAATATTCGGAAGATGGATTTTTTTTTAGAATAGAATATTGTTTATTCGCAATATATGTAGAATATAAGAAGTGTTAATATATAAACCTAATGGTGAACATTTTTTATAAAATTGAGGTAAGAATAATTATATGAATACAGATTCTCCCCATATACGTATTAATAAACAATACGGATCATAACGGCTGCCAGGATGAAGCCAAAAATATGAAACAAATGAATATCCATAAGGATTTGGTGGCATGATACGCATGCGCCATGCGCTATTATAGTAGTCATCAAAGACATGCGTTTCGGTGGACAATGACGTTTACTAGCCTTTCAATCAAAGCAGTATGTCTCTGATCGTTTCAAAACTTTTCCTTATGGATAGTCATTGGTCTTCAAAAATCGGCTTCATGTTTCGCGATGGAAACAGATAGAGATTATCCGTATTGATTATTAATACGTATATGATTCTCCCACGCGTCGCCATTTCCATAAAGTAGGCGTTATTGAGAGATTTCTAAATTTCAACAGGAGAAAAAACGAACTCAAGGTCGGTCGACCACAATATTCAATGTAAAAATACTCAGTGTGTGACTATAGTTTCGGCTCTACGACCATCTTCAGACACAATGAAAAAGTACCTAGAAAGTTACAAGTAGTACAGATGTAAAACAAAATGGTAGCTGAGAAAGAGTTGACATACCAGCTATGTAGATAACATCTTGACTATAAAAAATATATATAATTATCGGGTCATTATAAGCAATGATTAATCCAGCCTCACATTCAACAAATTTTGTAACGGCCTGCCAACCGTTCCGCGTGTATCTCTGTCAACAACCCAAATGTTTTTTGCATTGTTATTCGATGTTATATAATTTCCGAATTTTCATTATTAAGTCTCTTTTGGGTGTCGAGCCCTATTTTTCATATGATTGATTGTCATTCAAAAATGTTTCATTCTGTGTTTGAAATTGTCAATATTGTCATGTCAATGTCAAATTACCACTTTCAATTTTCACATTTCTGTGTCTTTCCTTTCGATGGTTTGATTGCAGTCAGATGAAGCTCATTGAGTAGATTTCCAAATAAAATTTTTCCATTGTTCCTGATGCTGAACTTACTTATAGTAATGTTCTTTTGGCTTTTCAGCCTTTACAAAATTTGTTGAATGTGAGGCTGGATTGATCATTGCTTATAACGACCCGATAATTATACAGGGTGATTCAAAATTCGATGTAAATATTTCAAGGGCGTATTGTGGGGATCAAAATAAGACTTTTTCTTCAAATCAACATGTGTCCTAAAATGCACCCCCTCCGAGCTACACTGTAAGGTGGGAAAAAAACAAGATTATCTAAAACTGTGACTATAATAACGAATCGAATCTTCTGAAAACATAAGAACCACTCCTGGGATTTTAGAACGTGTTCGACGTTCTATGCAAAGAAGAATGGAAAGTTGTATAGCAGCAAGGGGAGGACATTTTCAACATTTATTATGAGATTAATAATTATTTAATTACCCAATAAAGTTAGTTTGATATTGTGAAAGTACCCCCCTTTCGTTGATTACGATTTTCTGGCAAACGGTTAGTTGTATGACAAAAATGCAAAACACCGAATTCTCAGTTTTTTTTATGGCCAATAAGATTATGCTATTCGAATTCATAGTTTCTCTTTTTGAACATAAAAATTGGGCCAATAAGAGTGTGGACCCCCCTCCAACTCCCCCAAAACTGGGTTCACATAATTTTTGGAGCAAAAAAAGGATAGAGTGCCTAAAAAAACAGGGGTATGCCAATTTTCAGAAGATTCGATTCGTTATTATAGTCACAGTTTTAGATAATCTTGTTTTTTTTCCCAACTTACAGGGGCTGTAGCTCGGAGGGGGTGCATTTTAGGACACATGTTGATTTGAAGAAAAAGTCTTATTTTGATCCCAACAATACGCCCTTGAAATATTTACATCGAATTTTGAATCACCCTGTACTATATATTTTTTATTGTCAAGATGTTTTCTACATAACAGGTATGCCAACTCTTTCTCAGCTACCATTTTGTTTTACATCTGTACTATTTGTAACTAACTAAAGCCCTTAAATCATTCGTTTTCACATCAAAGATTACATGGGACTGCTTTGAAACACTCATGCAACTGGGAAAGGGCAACAAAGTCACACTTATGTGGGTTTCAGGGCATGAAGGAATCAAAGGAAATGAGGCAGCTTATCGCCTTGCAAAAAAAGGTGCAGCATCTGCACTTTTTGGTCCTGAGCCTTTTTGTGGGATAAGCAAATGTCACCTAAAGGGAGAACTCGGGAAATGGGAAGAAATTGAAAAGTCCTCCTACTGGAGAGCAACTCCAGGTTAACGACAAGCGAAAAGGATCATCAACCATTCGCAGAACCGAGCCAAGCTCCGAGCTACTCAGCCTCAGCAAACCAGAGCTAAAGCTTATCACAGGCTTTCTCACAGGACACGGCCCTCTGAAGTACCACCTCAAAAAGATGGGTCTGGCGGAGACTGACACTTGCCGCTTATGTAACAATGCGACCGAAACCGCGGAACACATACTTTGCTCATGTGAAGTATTAGTCCGCAAAAGGCTGAACCACCTAGAACAGGTCTATCTCACCCCTGCTGAAGTGGAAAAGTCAACCGTCAGGAAAATCGTTGGCTTCATCAGAAGTCTAGGGTTAGAGGACCAAAACTAGATAGGGGTAATCACAATAGATCTTCTAGGTCGCAGTGATCGAGAGGTCTCTCAGCCTATACGACCCATCTACAATCTACAAACTACTTGTAACTTTCTAGGTACTTTTTCATTGTGTCTGAAGATGGCCGTAGAGCCTGAGCCTGATTATTTTCATATTAAATATTGTGGTTTACCGACTTTGAGTTCGTTTTTTCTCCTATTGAAAAATACTGGACCACTTTGAGAATGGATGGTTTCCATGACTTATTTCTAAATGTCTTCAAATAGGAAGTAATCACACCATTTGAATTTCTATACATCAACATATTTCCGAACATTTGTATATCGGTTGACCGACCGATTCATTTTTCAAACTCTGTCTTGCAGGATTGGTTTCTGTTCTCATCGAAGGCCCACCGAATTCTGGAAAGACGGCCCTGGCTGCTCAGCTGGCCAGGAATTCCGATTTCCCGTTCGTCAAGGTGTGCTCTCCAGAAGAAATGGTTGGATACACTGAAACCGCCAAATGTCTAACAATCCGAAAAGTAATGAAACACTGTAGTTTAAGAGCCGCCTGCAAATATCGATTTCATCTGATAACAAAATGATCATCTATATGCCGGGTACACATTACAGACTCATGGTATTTCCTCGCCCTTTTCTCCTTTGGTTTTTTACCTACATTTCTAAAATTTGAAACGTCCAATATGCTCACGAGAGGGCACCTAATGTTTGGATTTTTATCCATCTCTCTGGAAATGACATCAACTTTCGATTTTCATTGGAACACCTTGTATTTCATTACATAATCGGTTAGGAAACACTATTTTCATTTTCATATTTTAACATACTTTTGTGTGTGTCGTGTATCAATATGCATTCATTATCTATTACTAATATTCTTTTTCTGTGACGGGAAAAAAGTTCAGCATTTCATCTCTGTTGGCAGGTTATAAAATGTCACTTCATAAAATAATTTTTTCCCGAATATATATCACATATACAGTGTGTCCCACTCACCATGCTCACCATGGGTATCTTTTTAACGGTGAGAGATACGAGGTCGGTTAAATGACATCAAATGTGGAGTTTGTCAAGGCCAACTATAATGTAAAAAAATATTTCGATAAAATCTATTCGTTTCTGTTTTATACGCAAAAAACAGATTTTGATCTTTTTCATGTCTCCTCCGTAACTTCTTTATTTATGAAAATATTCGAATAGGAATTTCACATTCTCATGGCAGTTTTTCAAAGTGATTTCGAAAAAAATATGAAATTTATACCAACTCTTCTAGAATTTGAGATATCAGCACCAACTTTAGTTTTTCAAAAGTAGGTCATAGCTCACTATGACTTAGTTATAAATAACTTTTTTTTCTGTTTCAGATGATATGTCGCAGTAATAGTTTTGTGTTGATAACAACGGAGTTATCGTCATGATCTCCGACCTCAAAAACCCCCACTTACCAATTTTGAATGGAATCGGACCAAATCTTGTCCGCCATCTTGGAGCAGCCATTTTTTTTAATTTCAACAAAAATTCCATGGCTCCGATTAACTAGAAATTTGGCAGGTGTTCATGATTTCGGTGACAATACATTATGGAATTTTTGTTGAAATTAAAAAAAATGGCTGCTCCAAGATGGCGGACAAGATTTGGTCCGATTCCATTCAAAATTGGTAAGTGGGGGTTTTTGAGGTCGGAGATCATGATTTTCTTGTTAAAATTGACAAATTCAAGATGGCGACTTCCAAATAATTATTTGATTTTGTATAAATGACGATAACTCCGTTGTTATCAACTCAAAACTATTACTGCGACATATCATCTGTAAGAAAAAAAACAGTTATTTGTAACTAAGTCATAGTGAGCTAGGACCTACATCTGGAAAACTAAAGTTGGTGCTGATATCACAAATTCTAGAAGAGTTGGTATAAATGCCATATTTTTTTAGAAATCACTTTGAAAAACTGCCATGAGAATGTGAAATTCCTATTTGAATATTTTCATGAATAAAGAAGTTAAGCAGGAGACATGAAAATGATCAAAATCTGTTATTTGCGTATAAAACAAAAGCGAATAGATTTTATCAAAATATTTTTTCACATTATAGTTGGCCTTGACAAACTCCACATTTGGTGTAATTTAACCAACCTCGTATCTCTCACCGTTAAAAAGATACCCATGGTGAGCATGGTAAGTGGGACACACTGTATATACACTGTTGATGACTTTTGTTGTGCTATAGTTCCGAAAAATGAGTCCATAATATTATGTTCCGATTCTATTCAAAATTTTCATCTGGGGTTTCAGGAGTCGGATATTATGATTCTTTCGTCAAAATTGGGAAATTCAAGTGAACTAAATGATGAACATTGAACTGAAAAAATATACAGTGTAAGCCACTTCTAATGGAAACACCCCTCTATCTTACGTAATCGTTGGGTAAGGATCCTGAAATTTGCTGGAGCCAGAGATATACCAAAAATGCACTCTATGACCAAGAGGGGTCATCTTCAGTGATATACACTGCTTGCCAACAGTCATGGAACCATCCCAATTTCTGGAAAATGATATTAGGAGTCAAAATAGGTTGAAAATCACTTCGGATTCGGAATCAGGACGCTCAATTTACCAACTATTCTTAGTTCTCCTAGAAAATTTTCAGTTCAGAAAAATTTAATTCATCAAAATTTGGAAATTCAAGATGGCGAATCCAATATCGCGGGCGGGTTTTGTGAGTAAGATCCGATTCTATTCAAAATTTGTATATGGGTGTTTTCGTGGTAGGAGACTATGATCCTTTCGTCAAAATTGAGAAAATTCAAGATCGACCGACATATAGCGAACAAGTTGTTATTATGATCCAATTCTATTCAAAATTGGTATCTGGGATTTGCGGAGAAGGAGATTATGATTCCAACGTAACAATTAGGCAATTGATGATGACGGATCCAATATGGCGGCCGAGTTTTGTGATTATGATACATATTCAAAATTTGAATCCTGGGGTTTTCGGGGTCGGAGATTATGATCTTTTTCTTCGAAATTGGGAAATTCGAGATGGCGGATCCAATATGACGAACTAGCTTTGTAATAAATATTAGTTTGAAAAACTATGATGAAACACGCTTCAATAGATAGCCAAACTCGAGGCCAAACTGAAAAGAAGTAGAAAATTGATAGTATAGTTTGAAAACTAAAGAGATAGATTATCGAACCAAAAAGAAGTAGAAAATGGATAGTAGTTTGAAAAACTGAAGGAACACGATTTTAGGGATAGTCAAACTAAGAAGAAGTAGAAAATGAAATAACAAAAGTGTGTTGATGAATATTCAACTAAGAAAATATTTTCTAGAATTAGTGTTTATGGCGAAACATCGTTTGCGAGGTCTGCTAGTATATAATATAACATCTCGTTATCAGATGACGGTCCAAGTTTGCAGTCGGCTCTCCCATTTTTGTTCGAACAAGCGGAATATTTCATGTCTCACTCTTTTCATTTTTTCACAGGTATTTGATGATGCATATCGCTCGACGTTGAGCTGTATCCTGGTAGACAATATCGAGAGGTTGCTGGATTACGGTCCAATCGGGCCGCGCTATTCCAATTTGACTTTGCAAGCTTTGCTGGTGCTGCTGAAAAAACAGCCGCCGCCAGGCAAAAAACTCTTGATTCTTTGCACCTCGAGCAGAAGGTACTTTTCTTATGAGTTCAAACAAATTATTCGACGTGAATCTCAGATTTCTCCGCGTCATAGTTTTCAGTTTAGTGGCTTGGGCTTCACAATAGGGTTGTTGACTTCTTATGGTGTACCCCAGGGATCAATTCTGGGACCCATTTTATTTCTAATTTATATAAATTCTATCTCAAGATTGAAATTACAAGGGAATTTAAAATTATTTGCCGATGACACAACTCTCATTTATTACGGAAAAAATATACAAGAAATAAAAAACCAAATGGAACAAGATCTCGCTTCAATAACATCATGGTTACAAGATCATAAATTGACACTCAATTTCGATAAATCTTCTTTTATGTTCATCTCGAAAAGAGTTATACCTGATAACCAAATAGATCCGTTAAAATTCGGGAGTTTTTGTATGAATCCTACAAAAAACTCCAAACTCTTAGGTTTAACTATAGACCAGACTCTATCTTGGTCATCGCATATTCAATTGCTCAGGAAAAAAATATCTCCCATTATTGGTATATTATACAAATTGAGGTCTTTTATACCTCTTAAATACTTGAAATTAATTTATTTCAGTTTGATTTACTCTAAATTGCAGTATCTGATATCGTTCTGGGGTACTGCAGCAAAATCTGTTTTGAAACCTCTGAAATCTCTTCAAAATAAAGCCATAAAATGTATTTATAAACTACCATTTCTGGAATCAACATCTAGACTATACAAACCAAGAGATCTACTAGATATTGACTCTCTCTTCAAAATGAAAGTATGCATTTTCATTCATTTCACTAAAAATAAAAAAAAAGCACTAGAATCTCACTTTCAATATCAATTCTGATAACCATGAGCATCACACCAGACAAAGTGAAAATTTGAAAACTGTTAAAATAAAAACCCAATTCAAAAAAATCATTGTATTTTTGTGGAATAAATATTTATAATAGTCTACCCAATAGAATAAAATCTATAAGATTCGTCACAAAATTTAAGTATGAACTGAAGAAATATATTTTATCAATAATTTAACTCTCCCCTTGTATCAATTAATTCTGATTGAACTGTTTATCTTTCATTGTATTGCATATTTGATTTTATTTTATTTTTTTGTTGTTTCCCTCTATAAACTTTGTGTGTTTCTTGGGATCAATAAATGTTATTATTATTATTATTATTATTATCTAAAGGCTAAAAGTTTACTGTTGGCTACTGGAGCAGAAATGGTGATGTAGTGCCAGTATTCATGAAATGTTAGGTTATGATCAAGATCTGGTTAGAGTTAATGAAAAATAAATTATTATTTTCAAATACTTTGGAAGAATGTATGAGGTCGAACTGGAAGATCTGACAGTGGAAGTAGACGCAGAAACTGCTACTAATCTTCAAGATGGTTTGTTATTCCCACTTTTGATATCAAATAGGTATAGGTAGGTACATACAGGCTGATTCACGGTAGATGGCACCTTAGACGTTTACGGAGAACGGGACATAAGATCATTCTGAAAATTTAGTTACTCAAGTAATTGCTCTTGATCTATCGATCTAAAATATTTTCAGCTCTGCGGCGTTGCCGCTTCTATCGAAAAGTAGCAACAACTTTGTTATTTTAAACGGAACACCCTGTATTTTATTGCATCTTCAGATTCTCTCTGAAGAGCTGATTTCATCGATATATCACACTTGGGGTCTAGCGGAAATGATTACAGAGATATAGGGTGTGAAAAATCGACATTTTTCAACTTAAGGAATTTTTTTTGTCGAAACTATTCATTATTGGTCAAAACGGCTCACATGTCCCTATCCCAACTTTTGATCAACTATCTACTGACATTTAATTGAAACAAATACAGGGTGGTGCAGAATTCAGATTCTTGATCACCCGGTATATGTCCCAATTAAATATCAGTAGATAGTTAATCAAAAGTTGAGATGACATGTAAGCCGTTTTGACCAATAATGAATAGTTTCGACAAAAAAAATTCCTTAAGTTGAAGAATGTCGATTTTTCACACCCTATATCTCTATAATCATTTCCGCTAGACCCCAAGTGTGATACATCGATGAAATCAGCTCTTCAGAGAGAATCTGAAAATGCGATTGTGTTATATTGGTGCACATCTGTGTGAGTGGAATATTTGATCAAATTCAATCGAAATATTCTATAGATTTTCGTAGACAATAACTGAATATAATGTCATTACTTTGAGATTTTTTAATAGTGGTTGGTCTGCACGTTTCATCAAGTTTAGCAGATGTTATACTTCTTATGTCAAATTTTTGTAGCACGAATACTCTTTACAAATTAATTTCTGATGCACAACCCCAGGACATTATTCCATACCTAAGAACTGAATGGAATATTGAATAAAAGAGCTGCACTAAGGTTCATAGATTTTTTAATCAGTCTGATTGCATATGTTGACCTGCTTAGTCTGGTACAAAGGTTATTATGTGGTCTATCCAGGTTAAATTTGAATCAATTTGCACACCCAAGAATTGAACAGCTGTTTGTTCTATTTGATCCATGTTTCTCGTTTCAAAAGTTGATGTTTTAGTGTTTTTTTCATTCAATATCTGCTCATTTGCAGTGAACCAATATCTTGCTTTCTCTACTACTATATTCAAAATTTACTGAGGAGTTACAAAATCGTCTAAAGCTATACTCAAAGTGGCATCATCTGCATACATTGTAGTTTTTATATTAGATGAGTTTACGAAGTGTGGTAGAACATTGATGTAAATAGTAAAGAGGAGCGGCCCTAGTATGGAGCCCTGAGGGAGACCTCTTATCAATTCCTTTTCATCACATTCCAAGATAGAACACATGCAGTGCTGACGTTGGAACATACTAGGCAGCTGCCTCAACTAATTTTAATGACCGCTGGTTGGTCTAGAAAGTACTTCACAAATCCTCATGTACTGTCTATCCATTTGTTCCTCATGGGTCAATGTTAGTAACACACTAAGAATCGGACGATCATAGTACATTATACACCTAGAGGATAAAGTTTTGCTTTTGTAAAAAAAAAATTTATTTAAATCCCTGTGTTCTCTGAAGGAATCATGATCGATTGACTTGCGATTTTCGGTATCAGATGTGATATTTTATGAAAAATCAATAGGAGGCAACGTACATAGGATGTTGAGTGGAACCCTACATCCTGTATAATATTGTGTTTTTTTTAGGCAAGTTTTAGAAGAAATGGAAATGTTATCGGCATTCACAGCAGTGTTGCATGTGCCGAACTTGTCCAAAGCTGAGCATTTATTGAACGTTTTGGAAGCATGTGACGTGTTTTCTAATCAGGAATTGAAGCAAATAACTCATCAGATTCACGGAAAAAGGTGAGATTTTCAATGGAAACATGAATATTAATCATAGAAATACCATTGGTGGAAACGGCTAGTCATAGTTATAGTCATTGTTTCACTATGAGTTGACTTGTTGTACGTATCATGATCGACATTAAAGTGTTCCAAGATTATTAACATTTGTTGTTAGAATAATACCCGTTCAACAATAGCATTATCATCCAAGGTATATATATATATATTATCTACTACCAATACTGCAGTACCAACATATTTCATAGAATCATATTTTCAATTCAATTGAGTAGAGAATCACCTATCATGAGTTAATTTGTCATGAGTGTAATTTAATTTATTCATATAAGTACTATTCTATAATTTCAATGATTCCTTTAACTTGAAGCTAATATTCCATTTTTCAATTTTGATATTTGGTTCACAATTAGATCGACAATGAATGTTTTGTTAGTTGCATAGGCATTCTGCGATATACACGCGTACTACATATAGTTTTTCATTATTTACCTAGTTTGTGAAATAATTGTATGTTCTGAAGCTGGTAGTGAGAAAAATTTGTTTCATTATCAGAACATTAAAAAACTCGTAGATATTGGATACTTTCTAATCAAGTGGGAAAAGATTATCACTCACTTATGACATCCATTTTTTTTTTCAGGATCTTCATTGGTATCAAGAAATTGTTGGCTCTAATAGACATGGCAAGACAAACGGACGAACGTATCAGAGTAGTGAAATTCATAACGAAACTGGAAGAAGATGGCGCTCTCGAGGATCCTGGTATGGCATAGGTATCAAGGTGTTGCTAAAGTTAACAATAAATTCAATTACCAATCAGAGAATCAACCACAGAAACAAAAATTCTTTTAAATAGTTAGTATTGAAAACGCTTTCTATCTCAAAGATGCAAAAAATATTAATTCGATTGTCTTTGATTGCACAGTCTGCAAATCTTCTCTCCATACAGGGTGTTACTTATTACTCGAGGAAGACGAAATGTTTCAGAAGTCTGGAAAATCAATCAAATAAACATTAAACATGCGGATACAATAGTAAATAATAGTCATTAATTGATCGTTGTATACACTATTTTTTTCTATCACCAATACATAATGAAATAAAAACAAAAACATTCATATTCCATCTACAATCCTTGAGTTCCGTTTACTTGCGATATATTGTGATTGAATGTCAATTGAAATTTGATTTCAACAACTCAAGCATGTATGTAAAAACATGGACACATTTGATTGTACCCAAGTATGTGTTTTTATTGGCCAAAAATTGGTTTCATAATGAAAGATACCTGTTTTTAATGGGACAAAATCTGTTTCATACCGAAAATTCGGGTTAAATATTATTAATCCGGTAGCAGATATTTAATGCGTGGATATAATACGGAAGTAGAAAAAAATTGAAATCACTCCAAAATATTTCTAAGAATTTGAATAACGCCCTGTACTGTACGTATCAACTGGGTATGACCGTTGTATGACATATACTTTCTCTTATTGAAATGGTGTGCAATCAAAACTAATCACTTGAAGTATTTCTTTCATTTATTGTATTGCCATATTCAGTTGATATCAGAGTATTTATAAGATAATAAATTATTATTATTTCGAGGTGTATTTTAATCTCTCAGTATAAATGAAGTTGGTGATTCTGACGGACCTTTTGGTATATACACCGGTTGTCCATGTAGTGTGGAAAAGCTCTATAGCTCCATTGCAATAAGAGATACACACACATTTTTTGAGGTTATGGAACTATATCGTAAGGTCTACAAATCAAAACTATTTTCATCTCTACAGGATGTTTTTTGAATGCGGGGCCACGTGAATTAGGAATTTTTCAAATGAAACACCCTGTATTTTCCAAAGGAAGGAATGCTCGAAGTTCAATGGTGTTGTTACACAATCAGAAGGGACATGTTTCGGTCTTATAAAAGACCATCTTCAGCCTAATTGAAAGTTCTACAATACAGAAAGATTGATGTAAAAGAATTATGTAATTTGTTCTTGACTTAATTGGAGTTGAAAAAATGTGATGGTACTAGTTGTGAAATTGTTGTCAATGCCTATAGTCGAAAAATCGAGTTTATAAATGAAAAAACGGGTTCCCAATAATTGAAGGGCATACAATTCATCTTATCGAAATTTCAAAAATCAAAATGGTATATGAAGGGTATTTGCCAAGAGGTTTTGTTTTTTTGACAACACCATAAACGGGTTTTTCGAAAAGTGGTTCCCCGTGCCCTTACGAAAGCACTACTGAAAGAAAATATCAATACACTTGATGGGGCAAACATCCAGCAGGTGTTTAAATCTGAACTAATGGGGTTAGAAAACAAAACCACTGAAAATAATGTCAAATAATGACGTAGATAAGACGTTCACATGAGTCAAAGTCAATGTCAAGAGACGAAACATGAAATTCCGACAATGAGCACAGGCATGTAACAATAAATTATACAACTACTTGAATAATGTGGAGGTAGGATGCGGGATGCATTTAGGGGAGAGTTGAGCAAACCTGAAAACCATTATCTATGAATGTACCACGGAATAAGAGTTGAGACCAAGGTAGGTAAATTAACAGCGAATAAAATCCAAAGCATTGGAAAATTTAATACAGTCAAATGTGTTTGTTCATTAAGAGACAAGACAGAATTATTATTTAAGGAAGAGTTAATTTCGAATATTTCCAGTAAATTCAATAACCTACCTTTTGGACAGACATGTAGAATTTTAATGTCCTGCTGATTAGGATCAAAACTTTGGCGTGAATTTAGGATATGGTTTGCGAAAAAACTTTTGGTATCATATTCATAAAAAAAAGGGGTGTATTCTTGGATTTTTCAATTCATACGTGAGCTGTCACTGTCATGTGTCAGCCATGGCGGTCGATACGATATGATTAAGATATGTTTGAGATTTCTGTATCACTTCAATGATTGTTCAATGGTATCATGTGTGACATTCATAAGGTTTAAATATTTCGCAATATAATAATTAATTGTACTTGCTTTGCTATATAATAGCTCACTTCTCACCCTAGCAGTATAAAACTATTATAACAAGATTCACGGAGATCTAAAAATCTCAGTATTCGCGATAGAAAATAAGCGTACGCCACCTATCAGAGTTCTTAAAAGCTGTGTTATTTTCTATGGCGAATTATTTTGTGGCATTGCCAAGTTGATTGGAATTATTTCGAAAAATTATAATACACTGATGTTGATTCCCATATGCCTACTGATCTTCATTTTGAAAATTACTATCCAAAATTATGCGAGAGCCTTGATGATACTTCGACTATCGCTTCAATGAAGTCATCATTTAGAGTTATTTTACAGGGTGATTTATAATGAACAGCCAACGTTGACCTTTTCGAATGGCCATAATTTTGTTTTTTCAAATAGAACACCCTGCATATTCCAGTGAAAATTCATTCTTTTTTTCAGTTTCTTTCATCTGATATGTATCGTTCAACAAAAAATCGCAGTTTTTTTGAAATATTCACAATGTTTCATTTTTCAGGCTCAAATAGCAATAATACTAAAATTATCATAGGTGATGATAATACGATAATATCGATATCATTTATCTTTTCCACAAAAACTGTGTATTTTTTGGCAATCCATGTTTTTTTTAATTGTCAACGTGCTAAATTACTTATAAATAATTTTCATCCATTAAACAGATGGGTGATGGTCGGCCTCACTTCGGATTTTAATTTCGAAATAATTCTTATCAACTTATCAACGCCGCAAACAAAATGCAAAAATATAGGGTGTTCCATTTTAAAAAATCGTAATTCATGTGTTGCCCTGCGTTCAGAAAACATCCTGTAAAGATCAGAATAATTTTGATTAGTAGACCTCACGGTATTGTGATACATCCCCAGAAAGATTTCGTCTATCTCTTATAGCACTGGAGCTATAGAGCTTTTCCACACTACATGGACATCCGGTATACAAAGCCCAGCATAGGGTCCTATTATCATTCCAATCCACGATGTATTGATACTAGTCAATTTCGGCATTTTGTAGCAATGTCTAGAGATAATAAAAAAATAATTTGTGTGGTAGTGGAATTTAAATTTTTAAATAATGGATGATATTTATTTGTTTATTAATTTTAATAATTTTATATCAGCGTTGATTTCTTTAGTAGGAAACGTTAATTGATAATAAAGATGAATAATAATACTTTTTTTTTCACAAACTGAGTTCGATGTATTTACAAAGTTTTCTGATTCTTTTTCTCCTAATATCAACCAACAAATTATAATTAAGTGAATCTCAGTTTGTTTGAAAAATATTCCCTTATATCAGCTTGGTATCTAGAGAGGCAATGTTAGATTATATAACATACAGGGTTTTCATTTTGATAACAAGACACTTTTAACATATATAGATTTGTGAATGATTCTGAATAAATAACAGGTTGAGTCAACTCAACAGGTTGTTTACAATTACATAAAAATATACTCACCAAGTTTCAATAGATTCGGAGCAAGGGTTTTTGAGATTAATTAATAAAACACGTTTTTTCAAATCTAAACACCCTGTATAGCAAATCGTTTTTGTTCAAGCCACTGCAAATCGAAATATGTTGAAGGTGACTTTGGAATGAAAGCCCTTGATAATTTTTGCACTTATTAAGATTGTTATTGTACATCAAATATTGTATATTGGTGTATAGTTTGTCCAAATGTGATAATATGTACATTGTCAAATGTTGTCATACTTTAAGAATTAGAAATAAAATACTATACGTTCCAGCAAGTTCTTGATTCCCTAATGATACATTTCACATTTTCACTTCCATTATTTCATCTAACGCCGCAAACATGTTGGAGCTGTGATTGATGGAGAAAAGTGTCTATCATGCAGGTTTTTGCCGACCGTAACTAGAATGACTAATTGTACTTTTGACACTGCTGTTTCGACGTTTTTTGTATATTAGACTACAGACACTATGACAAGCACTGACAATCAGATATAGCCACAAATAAATTTTTAGTGAATCGCCACAATTGCCGGTACTGGGCTGACACCAATCCAAGGATTTTCCACGGGACACACACGCAACACCCCCAGAAGCTGAATGTGTCAGCTGGTATTTTCGGAAATTCCATTGTAGGACCTTTTTTCTTCCCTGGAAATTCAACAGGCGATAATATGTACTTGGATTTATTACAAAATGCCGTCGACCCAGCTCTAACAAATATCATTGAGAACGATCCCGCATACAATGAACAGGAACTGATTTTTCATCAAGACGGAGCTCCTCCTTATTATTCCCAAAATGTGCGCAATTATTTACATGACACAGGACGATGGATAGGACGACGAGGCCCAATAGAATGGCCCCCTCGGTCACCCGACTTAAGTCCTTTAGATTCTTTTTATGGGGACACATCAATAAAAGCCTTGTTTATATAGACCAGACACATCAGAACAGTTGCGACAAAGAATCATTAAAGTATGTCGCGAAGTGACACCCCAAATGCTCCAGAATGTACGACAACGGTTTGAAAATAACTTATACCACTGTATGCAGGTTGACGGACAGCAATTCGAACATTTTCTTGACTAACTAACATGATGGTTGGAGTTTCAACGCTCCATATTTTCTGAAAGAGTAGATCGATTTGAAAAATCTAAGCAGCACTGTATAGGAAATGGCAAGCCCCTTCTAAAGAGGTATAGCTTGACCACCCTTCCCATTTGAAAAAAATGTTGGGGTGACACCCCTACTTAGGGGGTTGAAGGTTTTACTATGCTTGTTACGTCAAATTGTGCCCCCCTGACAAACAAACTTGACCTGTTTTCGGATTTTATCAAAAAGTTTCTTCCCAGTCTGTAATGCCTTGCGGTACGTTTTCGATGGGCCACCCTGTATAAGAGACTTATTTCATAGGAATAGTATATGTATTTCGTTGGTATACAGGGTGATACACGGTGGATGGCCTATTAGAAATATTTGGAGAAATAAAAGACAGAACATTCTGAAAATTGGGATGCTTAGATAATTGAACATTCTCTATTCGTCTAAAATATTTTCATTGAGACAGTGTTGCCACTTCTATCAGAAATAGTTAGCAACTTTGTTATTTCAAATGAAACACCCTGTATTTTATTACATTTTCAGATTCTTCCTGAAGAGCTGATTTCATCAATGTATCACACTTGGGTTCTAGCAGGAATGATTACAGAGATATAGGGTGTTCAAAAATTAGGATTTTTCAATGTTAAGATTTTTCTGTGTCGAAACTATTCATTATCGATCAAAACGGTTTACATGTCCCTATCTCAACTTTCGATTCACTGTCTACTGACATTTAATTGGAACAGATACAGGGTGATCAGAATTCTGAATCTTGAAGCACCCTGTATTTTTTCAAATTAAATTTCAGTGGATAGTGAATCAAAAGTTAAGACAGGGACATGTGAGCCGTTTTGATCGATAATGAATAGTTTCGACACAAAAAAATTTTAAAATTGAAAAATCTCGATTTTGAACACCCTATATCTCTAGACCCCAAGTGTGCCACATCGATGAAATCAGCTCTCCAGGGAGAATCTCAAAATGCAATAAAATACAGGGTGTTCC